GTCTCGCAGCTGGCTCCCGTGCTGGAGTCCCAGGAGGAGCATGGCAGCCGTTTGGGCGCATGCCCAACGAGGACAGAGGAAGGTGAGGAGCCTCGTGTCTTCCTCCCTGGGAGGTGAAGGATGACAGGTGGGGTTGAGGCCTCTGGTGTGAATTCTTCCCTTGTAGTAAAGCTGTCCTCTTTGGCTTTAGTTACATCCAAACAGCTGCCACAGGATGGCAAAGAAGAGAAAGGCGTTGCTCAAAGCGATTCTGAGACGCCTGAAAGATGCGAAGCAAACAGCCAGCCACTGTGAGCGCCTTGCCTGCATTCCAGGGTGTGCTGCCTCTGCGCTGTGTGGCTTTTGTGTTCCCAAAAAGCAGCTTAGAGCCACTTGGTGACTGATGTGATGTGGCATTGAGTCGCTGAAAGGAATGCACCCATTCCAAGGTCACAGTCCCGCTTCCAGTGCCCGCTCTGGGTAGAGATGGTAGCCTTTGCATGTGGTTGGGCACTGCCCAGATTTCCTTCTCAGAAATGATGAAAACCAGGAAGGGAAACCCCTTCCCATGTGAGTATCCATTGCATGGTGGAGGCCCATGGTGTTAATACTCAGCTGCTGTGCGTGCTGCTGTCTCTGTGGACACTGGCTCCTTCTGTCTTGAGTTAACGCCACGCGAGTGATGCTACTGAACGTATCTTTAGTAATAAGTGGACTTTGACTAGCTGGACTGAATGTTGCCCTAGTTCGTGTCCTCTGGCCTCTGAATGGGAGGCTTCGGGGAGAGAAGAGAGCTCAGAGAAGATGGCGGCTCCTGCCTGGAGTGGCAGTGGACTGAAAAAACAAAGAAAGCTGTTCGATTCTCAAAAAGATGACATGATGGCCAGGAGGACTGGGATGTCTCTTAGGCACAGTGGATCCAAGCCAAACCAGTTCCTTCCGGTTCCATTTGCAAAGCAGCAGGAAGTGGAGGAATCTGCGAAGGGCCCACCCACGAAAGATAAGAGGTCAGAAGATTATCCTGTGCCCTGTTTCTTGTGGCTTTGTTTCTCCGTTCTGAGGCTTGATTACATGCTTTGAATATGTTTATTAATGCCTTTTGGTACATCAATGCCACTTACTTGCTACTGCTTACAGAAACGAAGTGATAAAAACTGGCCCAGTCTGCTGAAAATTTGCTTTCCTATTTATTTTTTTTATTTTTTATTTTTTGCATGTGAGCAGGTGTGGAAAGAATAGTTCAGCTGTGAGTTTTTTTGTTAAACTTTTTTTTTATGCTCCTCTGTGTGCACCCTACATAAGCAGCTCTTTTGTCTCTTCCCAACTCACAGAGGAGCCTTTGGGTGAAGGGACGGAAACTCTTTCTGATCGCCTCGTACTTGATTTCACTTTGATTCTAAGCGGGTCTTCCAGCCCTAAGAGGATGCATGCCACTTTTAAAATCTGAGAATTAATGTCAACATTAGGAAAAGTGTTTTCTAGATGTGGCACCTCTGTGCTTTGTTGTAACTTGATTTAAAACGAAGAGTAGGGAAATAATAAACCCGGGTGCATGATCTTGTTTAAGGTCCTATAGGTTGAAGCTTCTATTGCTATTTAACCAGAGTGATAAGTCTGTGGACCGTCTGATCAGTGCAGAGCAAAGCAGTGGGGGTGTTTAGCATAATTGTAAGTTCCACTATAAAACCTTTGTGGCAATGGGACAGAGGGTGCAATGGGGAACAGGGAGGACCCTACGTAATCCTAAAATTTTAAAATTAATATCCTAGCCATCTTTAATATCCTAGGATTTCATCTGTTTTATTATAATTCATTCTTCTGAATTGTAATAATAATACTCTAGTATAACCTTATTATAGCACTGGCTTCAGGGAGCAGGGTAATACCCATGCTCTACTTGATGGCTGGAGAGTACTGTGTGTAGCCTTTGCAAGGTGTGTCTGCTCCCTCTAGCTCACCTTCTGAGAATTCACAGGTAGGCTGAATGGATGTTAGCTCCATGCCTGATGTAGAGGAAAGGTAAGTGAGAGGCTGTCACTTGGATGTCGAATGGTTAGGACTGGTTAAGACTGGTCCACCAGTCACTCACTTTGTAGGTGGCCTGACATAGCCTGGCCCTGGATCCATGGGCTACTGTAAAGCAAGTTAGAATGAAAGGAAGGAAGGGAGGGAGGGAGGCAGCTGCCTGTGTTCTAGGTACTTACCCTGTTTACGACTAGCGTAACCTCTGAAAGTAAGAATTTTCATCTGCATCCTGCAGTGAGGAGCTTGGCCCCGTGTCTACACAGCGGGTAATTACAGATCCAAGATTGAAACCCAGCTCTTTCTGAGCAGAAAGCCCCTGTCCCAGTGCAGCACCAATGCACCGGACACTGACAGGTTCCCTTGGGAATTCATTTTCCTTACAACACATTTATTGAGTCATTATTTTCTGTAAACTACACTGTGCTGGGTGCTGAGGGGTAATCCTAAATGAGCAGCAACCCATTTTCCCCTCTCATTTCAAATGAAGTGTGTGTTAGTTCACAATATGAAAATATATAACCACCAATGACTATTCTGAAGTACTTTATTAATTTTGAAGGTTACATAAATGCAATCAATAGGTGCATAAAATATTTCATTTATCTTTCTAAGTACCCCAACCCTCACAATGAAACTTTATTAGTTGCTTGTTTTTTGTTTGTTTTTTTAGGATGCTTATACGAACTGTGATTAATCGGGCCAATTTTGTACCTCATAGCCTATTGACTCACCTACTTTGCATTTTGAAAAATCACTTTATTATTATTTTTTAACCTACGTTTACATTTACATTTCCCATAGGACACCTGGGAAAGCCATTTGGAGCCCAAGCTCTAATTATCTTCTGCTTAATAGCAAAGGCAGATCTACTTAAATCGACGTCCTCTAAAGCTGATAAATCAGTCTGAGAGGAAATTCCTTAAATCCACAGTGGATAGTAAAGGGAGGAAAAATAAGTTTATCTTCAGAGACTGTGCTATTCTTTTCAATTTCCAGACCAGCCAATAAATAGTCAATGAACACTTATTGGGGGCCTAGTCTGGTCACTCCTTAGGGAACCCCAAGAAGAAAAACCCCTGCCCTTATGGATCTTACATTGTAGTGTACATGTGCATGTGTGGGCAGAGATATCATGAAATCTTGTGTTTTGTGTAGAAGCCATTTAAATTCAGGTATATCCTACAGCAACCACATAGCTGGACCTCTAATAAAATATGCTAAAAAAGCCAAACTCAAAGGAGTTCATATTGTATGGCCCATTCACAAGACTTTCAACATTAGTGTACAGGTATGCTCGGTTTGTGAAAAATCATTGAGGTGTATGGTATGTGTACGGTGTGTGTACTTTCCGTATGTATGTTATACTTCAATCAAACATGAACAGAAACATTCAAATAGAGACCCAAAAATACATAACCATCTATTACTGGTTATTTCTAGATTAACCATCTATTAGGAATATGTTCTCAGCTCTTCTTCATATGTAATTGAGAAAACATTCTATTTGACTAAGACTATTCCAATAGGCCTATTAATTCCATGGGTAACATTTATCCAGTCTTCAGAATTAACGCTGCTTATTCATTCCCTCGATGTGCAGAAATCCACCAGTCGTTTGCTTCAATGTCATGATGTTTTTGGAAAACTAAGTGTATTGGGTTAGATTTTAGCACCTTTGGAAACTGCCCCCTGGAGGAATGGAAAAGGAATCTTACTACCAGAAGAGAAACATCCACAAACATTTTCCTCATCTTGTTTTCGGCCGGGGCAACAAATACGTTGGATTTTGCGTTGCTGTGGCTGCCTTCACTGTGAATGAAAAGAATTGTCATTGAATGAAAACCTCTAGAGTGATAAAAGCATAAGAGAAAAGGGTGTTTGTGTGTGCATAACCATGTATTCTGGGATGCTTTCTCTAAGAGTATAGGAAGATATCTTTAGAAATTACTTTTTACCCTGTAGTAAACTGTTATGAAACTAAAGCATGGGATCTGGTCATTTTTGCTGAAAACCCCACAATGGCATTTACTGGAAACTGAAAGCAGGAAGCTTTTATTTACTTAAATAACTCTTCAGCTGCCATCAGAATGCAGAGAGGAACAGCCTTTCAGAGCATAAGGAAGAACCTCCTCTTAAAAATCCCCCTTTGCAGAGGAGACAGCCTGGTGGGAGCTGCATCTTTAAAACGTGCTTCAAATAGGCCCTTCTGAAGTTCTAATTTTGTTTTCTAACTTGACCTCTTCCTTTGCTTTATCAGACACATTAAAACGTAAAGTGCCTGTGTCGCAGAGGGTACCTCTTTGTAGATCAAAAATAATCAGGAGACTATCAAAGATTGTAAAAAAAAAACACAAAACCACTTTGGTGTTTCAAGTGATGGAATATCCACGTCTGGTTTGGATTAAGGCCGCCCGTTTTCTAGGAATTGTGGTTTTTGTCAAACGCACGCAGAAGGCACTGCCTGGGGCTCTGGTCTGGAGTCCTGGTTTGCTTTCACAAAACTGCAGAAAGGCTCTTTGATGGCATTTGTGCAAATGCATTAACACGTCAGGTCCGGGGCCAGTCAGCACATGCTTCTATGTTGGGTGTCCATTAGAGCTCGCTACGGCTACACATAAGGCATGAACAGCTTCACTGTTTGTGCACAACTCTTGTGCAGGTTTGGGTTTGCAAAAGCTGCCTTCTCTAAACATTGCAGGGTGCCCCGAAGCCTGTTGTGTTTATATTGAATGGGTTTGTTTTTGTGTGGGTTCCTTTCACTTCTCCTCTGTGTTTTAATGCACATTTTGCACTCTTTAGAACTGTCAGGATGCTCCTTTCCCGTTCAGAAGTTAGTGAACATTGTTAATTGTATAAGAACACTTTTCTTCCATTATGATCAAGGGGGGGAAGACGTTTGGCACACTTAACATTTCACCAGCAGTTTTTCTTTTTCAGCTCAGTTACAGCGTTAACCTTGTCTTTTCAATCCTCTAATTTTGTATTTGGTCTTATAGATACGGTCCGAGAACTCCTGTGTCTGATGACGCAGAGTAAGTTGTCTTGTGTTCATAGGAATACGTTAATTACTAGCCTAAACTGCATGCCTTCAGTACTTAACCACTAATGGAAATGCAGCTGGTGCAACAGGGAACTGAATCGCTAACCGACTCGTGCAAGCCTCAAAAAGCACTTGAAGTTGGAATGCAGAACACATGTTGTGCGCAGGAGAGATGAATGAAAAAGCAACTCAAGCATGATTCTAATATGCAGCTGCTGCTTAAAACTTAACATTTGCTTTTCATAGACGGGGCATGTTACAGTTGTGCCTGTTACCGTTTGGATGTTGGTACCCTTTCTGAACCATGGAATTATCAAAGCAGAATTCTGCATTTGAATTTAACTTTTGATATGTTAGGGCTCAGAGTTCACAATGAAGCAGTCATTCTCATGGCCACAAAATCTTCTTAAACTAAGAAAATAAACCCTAACCCACTAATTATGGATTCAGAAGCCCAAGTTCCTCCCCGGTTGCAATAATATAAATTGCGGGATACTTGACACCAAAATGCTGGTCAGGTTCCGTGGCAAAGCAAGGACTCAAGATTTAAAGCAGGACTCGGGCTTCCTCTCCTCTCAGAGATCGCAGAGACTCACTGCCCATTATGCCTCCCTCCACGTTTTAGAAGAATCCACATTCTCCCGTTTGGGACCACATTGACTCCATTTCCAAACATGGATTTCCCATACACAGAAAATTCTGCAAGGAACATCCAAGGCACAAGTTTTCTTAGCAGAATACTAGCTTCCTCAGATTGCAGTAATTTGCATTAAAACAAAAACAAAAACAGGATTAATGCATAATTCCACCATCAGTCACCTGGTGTCTTTCCTCTCTGAGAGGTGTTTTTCCTGCTCTAAGCCATTATTCCCAGGCCTATAGCGAGGAACCCAAGGGGTGGCGTGGCACACACACAGCTGTCATCTCCACCAGTGACAATGAGTGTTAGCCCAAATCTACTGCTTTCCAGTCGTGCTTTTTGCGTTTTTTTGTGCTTAAGATGTCAGCTTAGCTTGTTCTGTAGGCCCCAAGCCGTCTGCCTCCAGCACCTCTGACGTCACTTGCCAACGTGTGATCTCTCATTGCTTTGTGGCCTGACATACACAGCATTCACGTCTCACAACCACACCTCAGTCCACGCTTGGGTTGGAGTTTAGTCGTCTATAAAATAAAGCCCTGTTTATTAATCTTAAAATCTGCAGTGGCAATATTTAACAGTCACTGAAAGGAGGATTATGTAAGATTGATGGGCACAACATGACTTTGATTTGGTAGGGGGGGAAAAACATTTTGATAGAATGGATGTATTCTTCATCAGTGCAAAGACACTGCAACTTGCCTGCGCTAGATCGCTGGGAAATCCTAAAGGTGAAAGAAGAGAGCTCTACGAAAGAGCTCTTGGATTTGCCTGCCCCTGAGGGTGAAAGCTCGCCCACCGAAGTTAACGACTTTTTTAAAGGGGCCGCATTGGGGACTCCCTTCGCTCCCTCTCTACATTGGCAGGGAACAGCCTTATGGAATAACGAGGGTAAAAGGAGCTTCTTTTCCAGACGTCTTATCTAGGCATATCAGACAGACCAAATTTCCTTCTTGGAGTAGACACGATTCACGTGAGCCCACGTGAGGAACAAAATGAAAAGTTTATATGGGGACTTGATTTTTTTTAAATAAGAGCGTCATACTATGTCTCGTTTAATCCCTCACTATCTCCCCTTTTCCAAAAATGTCAGGGCAGTTATTGGCATGGGCTCCACTTATTCATAATGGACACATTCTTAAAATACAGCACAATCAAAAAAAGATGTGCCCCGAGGAAAACCCAGGTCAGGGGCAGACCCACCACACAGGCAAACAGAAATTTCCGCCGCCTGGCAGGCCAGGAATGTTTCCGTCTGTTTAGTTTCACCTTCTTGCCCTTTTCCTCCTCCTCCCCTAACATGCTCTGCTGTGAGAGCCACAGGCCATCTTGCTCTCAATTCCCTTACCTTGGACTTGGCCCCAAAACAATGTCCAGGCTCCCCTTGAGGGAATTTAATCCTGCCCCCCCGCCCCCCCGCCCCAAAATGCCAACCCACCACCAACAAAGACTCCCAGGCAATGCAGCCGGGGTTCCTTGTCACCACAGCCCAAGGGCATGACTTATTGTGGGAAGATGCACAAGGTTAGCGCAGGTCTGGAACCTGGGCTCCGTCAGGGTCCCTCACCCCATCCTTAGATGCTCACGTTTGCATTTTGGAGGCAGAGTCTGACTTCTGAACGAGGGAGTATTTTCTGACTCAGCCTGTTTTCTGGCCAGTATTTTCAATTCTCAACTTGCTTCGCTTTTTTTGTAGATGTCCTAAAGACATTGCTCATAGTTTTGCTGTTTCCTTTTTGGTCAGTCTGCTGATATTTCTTTAAAAATCAAAACAACTCTGGGAAAAATACTGCTTCCTGGTATAGGAGAGGGCAAACAAAAGTTTCTCTTTTTATTTCACTAGCCAGCTTTTGGCCCTATTTGGGCTGAGGCAAGTTCTAACTTCGTGATAGGACTGAGGTAGAAACCCAGACAGAAGTCAGCTCTGAAGGCCTCGCTCTTGTCCTCTGTCTGTCATGTGAGATAGGCAATTCCCAATCTTGGAGACGACTGCCATTTTTTTTCCCCCTTGGGTTCCCAGAAGACACCCTGGCTGTATGGCCACACATTGTGGCCTAAACCAAAATTCCGCCCTTTAGAAATTATATGAATGACAAAGTCAAAGGAAGGAACCTACTTTCCCTCCCATGATCTGCCAACTACTGAGTAGTTTACGAGAGCGTCCCAGCTCAGAGAGATTTTTACCTGCTAAGATCTTCACAAACACTGAATTGCCTCAAAAGATGAACTGACTAAATCAAACATATTTAAAGGTAAGATTTTTTTTTTTAATTTTTTAACTCTGAGAGGAGGAATGGGATGAATTCCCATCTCTTTCTGAAAGCCTACCTAAGTGAGTTTTGGTTCATGAAGTTAAAATATATATATAATGGGTTATACTTTTCTACCTAACTCTGCAAGTTCCTTTTAAATCTTTCCTAAAAATTAATAAGCAAGGGGAAACTCGCAGTCCCTCCTGCCTCTTGAGGACTCCAGCTTATCTGGAAGGTGTGGCTCCCACAATCCACAGGACCCGCTGATATGTGACGGCGGCTCAGATAGAAGTGCTCTGTGGACAGGTTATCAGAATACTCTTGGGGAAGACAGATTACAAGTACAGTCTTCAGCTTTAGCTCTCGTGGGTCAGATTTAAATTATCCAACATCTAGAGAGATCCATTTTGCAGATTCATTTTGCATGGTGGCGTGCAGTGCAGCTGGGCAGCCACTGCCTTGGGGTCACGTTGCCTCTCTGAGAGCTGTCCGCTGGGGAACTGGTGGTATCCACCAATGCTGTCTGCTCATTGCCTGGCCCTGGCGAACACTATTTTGGACATCACTGATGTCCAAACGCATGGCTTTTCTTCTTTTTTGTGTTACTCTGGCTTCAAAAATGGACCATCATGCTCCCCTGTTCTTAGAGTGACCTTCAAAGGGCCTCCATTTCTGGACTTGGGGACTGTTGGTCCCAGCGCTCCTCGTTTCTTTGAGAGAGAAAAAGGAAGAGAAGGGAGGACTTTGCTTCTGTATTTATTTCTGTTTCCATCCTGCTGCTTAAGCTTCTGCTGGAACAAAGCTCGATGGAAGCATTTCAGGAAAGACCTCAGGGTCTGGCCTACCATTTCATAAGCGCCTATAGACTCTATGAGGGTTTCCAATGGTTTTCCCTATAATTTTCCTTTTGAAAGAGTAAATGCAGAGATATCCTGACAAAAATACAGTTCTGAGAATCTTAGGATACAAAGTATATAGTGATTTATATATTTTATCCTTTGATCTCAATATAAAATACCTTATTTTCTTGATTCCAAGATTCCATCAACTGCACTATCAACTTGCAGATTTATAGAAAATAGAAATAACCACATCAAACACACATGCATCCCCAATGCGCAGTGGCTGGGTGCATCCACGATGCATAAAATAGTGCAGTATGAAAAAATGGGTGTCTCAGACTTAAGGCCGTGTGATTTTTTTTAATTTTTTTAATGGAGAGATTGCCTCAGTCCATGTAGAAAGCGTTTAAGCCAGGTCTTCACACAAAGAGCATGCACTGTAATGAAGTTTCTCCTCGTGGACCCCCACCCTCCTTCTCCACAAACTCTCCCCAAATTAAACCTTTCCATTCTCTCTTTTTATTCCCCCCCCCCCCCTAATATATTTCCAAATGAGAGGAACCCAGAGCTTCGTATACCTTTGCTAGCTCTCCTTTCAACATGCTTTGGCACCTACTTGTATAATTCTACTGACCCCTGAAGACAAAGATGCTCCCATTTTGGCTTTTGCATCAAAAGGAGACGAGGTGCGGGGGGGGGGGGGGGGGGGGGGGGGGGGGAGGGTTGCTGGCTTGCACGCTGCTGGCTGAGGGCATTGGACAGTCTTCCGAGCGAGCGCGGTGGCGCCCCCTCGCGGCGGCGAAGCGGCCCAGCACGCACGGAGCCCAGGGCGCTGATGCGGGCCCCTTTTTGTCTCTGCTCTCTCCACCCTCAGGAGCACGAGTATGTTTGACATGCGGTGCGAGGAGGAGGCTGCAGTGCAGCCGCACAGCAGGGCCCGCCAGGAGCAGCTGCAGCTGATAAACAGCCAGCTGCGGGAGGAGGACGACAAATGGCAAGATGTGAGTGCTGGCGGGGCGGCGGGGAGGCAGCCCGGGCGGCGGGTGAGGGGCCTTTGGAGGCAGAAAATCCGGTGGGGTGGGGTGGGGTGGGGTGGGTAGGCCTGGGTTTGGAAGCCATGCAGGGGAAGGGGGCATCTAGAGGATTTCAGAGAGTGACCCAGAGAACGTGGGCATGAAAGGAAGGTTAAAACAGCAACGTGAAGGGTGAGGAGTGAATGACAGACACACAATCCGCAGCTATCCTCACGAGAGGGATGGCCACACAGGAGGGGGCAGCCGGCCGGCGGGAAGCAGCTGGCACAGTGATGGGGAATCGAGGAGGCAGGTCTTTGGAGATTATATGTTTGACATGAATAATGATGGTTATGATGAAAACGCTAATTGCCAGCATTGAAAGCCTGTCAGGAACAGGCACTGTGCGAAGGGCTGTGCATGCAGTAATTCTTTAATCCTCTTAGTAACTTGATGAGCCAGCCGCTGTCACCATCGCCCTCAATCCCACAGGTGAGTCCCAGAACAGCTGAGTAACTTGCCCAAAGTCGCACAGCTAGCGAGTGAGAGAGCTGGGGACGGAAGGATGCAGCATCGGATGGGGGCCTGGAGATTGTCGGGGAAGAACTTTAAAAAGATAGGGATGAGCAGAGGGAGATGAGTGGGTTATTTCATTTCATCCTCACAGAGCACTCCAAGAGAGCAGCTGCAAACTTGACTCTACCATTAGTCAACTAATCGTCATGGTTACTGTGTCTACAGTGTATTGAACACTTCCCATGTGCCTTATAGGCATATCTCATTTAACTCCCAAAATCAGCTTGTAAGAGTGGGTGTTAAAATCATCCCTGGTTTAGAGATGAGGAAACTGAGGTGCAGAGAGGCTGAGAGGTGTGATTCCGCAACATGGGAGAGAGAGCGAGCTGGGATCGTGTCCCAAGCTGCAATCCCATCCATCGGACTCCAGAATCGAAACTCTTTGTCCATAGGCTGTCATTGCCTGTAGGTTTTTGTGGCGAGGTTGTTGTAAGGATCAAAAGAATGAATACATACAGAATCGTAGTCCTTTCTGTGAGACCCCAAAGCTGGTGTTTTTTGTTTTTTTTCTGCCTCTTCTTTCTTCCCTGCGGGCATTGTGCAGGTCTGTGGCTCATTCCTACCATTGTATTGCCAACCAGTCCACTCACGGTGCAGAAGTCATAGAAAGCAAGAAATGAGGTTTTTTACAATCCCCTGTGAGACAGTGCTTTAAACTTTGGAAACTGCCATGGAATGTGGTTGCACATGTCACGTTGTGTTTAAATAAAATGCGCTACCCTGCTCTGGGAGGCATCTTTCCTTGGGGCATTCTTATTCCAAGCAGACCGCCACTGGATTGGGTGGGAACGCCCAGCACGCTGCTGCCGGGCCCATGGTCAGTGCCCCCTAAACTCTGAGAAGTAGACATGACAATGAAAAAGCCTGAAAAAAAAATGTGCTTTCTCTCCGCCAAACCCACCCCCACAGGACCTGGCTCGGTGGAAGAGCCGAAGAAGAAGTGCTTCTCAGGACTTAATCAAGAAAGAGGAAGAAAGGAAAAAAATGGAGAAATTGATGGCGGGAGAGGATGGGACCAGTGACCGGAGGAAAAGCATCAAGACCTACAGAGAAATTGTTCAAGAGAAGTGGGTCCTTGCTGCTGCTGCTGTTGTTGTTGTTTAATGTGCACTATTGCCTAGATGTGTTTTTTTGCTAAAAATGGTTGCTTATTACAGAGGCCCCCGTGCTGTCTCTGCTGCTCCTTGCAGTGTTTGTGCCTGTGGCTGACCTCTGTGTTGCTTCTCTCCCCCGTGCCCATGCTTCAGAGAGCGGAGAGAGCGGGAGCTGCATGAGGCGTACAAGAACGCGCGCTCCCAGGAGGAGGCCGAGGGCATCCTGCAGCAGTACATTGAGAGGTTCACCATCAGCGAGGCCGTTCTGGAACGCCTGGAGATGCCAAAAATCCTGGAAAGAAGCCATTCCACGGAGCCAAACTTCTCCCCCTTCCCGCACGACCCCAACCCCATGAAATACCTGCGGCAGCAGTCACTGCCTCCACCCAAGTTCACTGCCACTGTGGAAACCACCATCGCGCGTACCAGCATTCTGGAGGCCAGCATGTCGGGAGGCGGCGGGTCTCCAAGCAAAACTGTCGCTCCCAAAGCAGTGCCTATGCTGACACCCAAGCCTTACTCCCAGCCCAAAAACTCTCAAGAGGTTCTGAAGACCTTTAAGGTAGGGGGAGTCCCAGAACCCCCACGCTGCACTCCAGGGAGTGGGTGGAAAGGAGCCTCTTGCCTCAGGGAAATGCAAACAAAAGCAAACTGTGTCCACACGTACAGTATAGTCGGGAAGTTTACATGCCTCTGAGGTTCGGTTTCTGAATGGCTAGGGAGAGACAGTTCCCCCCACTTCCTGCTGTTACTGTTGATGGGCTCCAAGGAGGCTGATGGTTGAGTTGTTTCCATGAGCAAAGTCTATTTCCTAACTTGATCTAGTGACATGCTCTCTCTCTATTAGCATTCACAGACCCTAATTTAGTAACACCCTAGGTATCTCTATCTGGAGGTATTGCAAACTCTCCAAAACAAAATTGGAATTGTCTTTGTTTCAGCAGAAGTGCGTACAGTTATCTCTCTTTTAGGGAGTAATTGACGTTACATCCAAAAAGATGGCAACAGTTGGAGAAAAAAAAATACAGGGAACACATGGAAATAGGGGGATGTTTTTAGTCCTGGAATGAAACAGGCTTTTGGAATATTTTTAAGTGGAAAGAAACGAGGCTGTTGATTTTGTTTTTTTTGTTTTTTTTTTTGGTGTGGTTTTTTTTTTGTTTTGTTTTTTTTTACCAACAAATATGTAAAATAATGTTCCAGAACCAAAGAACGTATGACAAGCAAACATCTTTTCACTTTCAAAAATTCCAGTGTTTTCCCTCACATCATGAGGAGGCACTCGCCCTTTGTCTTAAGCTCTGTTGACTACAAAGGAAAGTCAGTTCTTGCTGTCTCTGCACGCCACATGGGCTGGTAATAGAAGACACCGGTGGAATCCATCGCTAGCAGACACGGCCATGTGACTGGGAAGAAAGTTTGCTTAACCAGACTAATTGAGCAAAGTGCTGCCTGCTCTCTGCCTATTGAATTTCAGAGGGGACCAAAGCACACTTCCTGAGTTTTGCTTAAATAGCTCTTTAAAGAATGTATCTTTAAAATCGGTGCCTTCGGCTTTGACGACACAGAGGAAAATGCCGTTTGATTGGGGTTGAATTGAGATGTTTGTCCCTTGAGGGGCTGGGCTGTGACTTTGTTGTTCACAGCTTCATCCTGAGAGCCTGGCATAGGGGCCTGAGAGGACACATTTGGCACTCAGCAGGTCCTTATTACATGAATTTTTTTCCTGAGAAGATAGATGAGTTATTCATCATGCAGACTCATGCGTGCACGGATATGCACTCACCTTAAGCCCTGCTCAGCTTTCCTTACCGAGGACCCCAATGATGTACTGTCTCCATATTTCATGAAGAAAGGTTTGATGTTGAGGTGTGTCAGAACCAGAGCAGGGAGAGCAGTGTTTAACTTCCCAGGCATATGATCAGGTCATGTAGATGTGCACTTCTCTTCACTGATATAAATAATGCAATATAATCATTTCAGCAGAAGAATTAGGCCTGAGAAAACCCAGTTCCCTTCCCTTTGTGGCAAGAGTGAGTAGAGGCCTCAGGAAGAGCTGTGATGGCGAGGGGGATGGAGCCACTTGACTAGAAGTCCCCTTAAAGCTGGGCTCACTCTTCACCACCAGTGAGTCCTTGACTCATCCCAAGCATGTCAAACTCACGGCTGCATGCGAGTTTGACATGCTTGTTGGGCCTTAGCAGCTCTCAGCCTTGTTCATAGCCCCACCACTGAGTGGGTGGACCCACTTGTGGTTAAGGGTAACATGGAAATAAACAGTTGTTACCAGATAATGCCAGGACAGAAACTAAGGGGTTCAGCATGTGTGTGAGTGAGTGTTTGTATGTGTGGGGGGAGGGGGGGAGGAATGGGGCAGAGGTAAGGGAGCAGGGAATACAGGTTGTTTCCAGTACTACAGAATTAAGAATAAAGGAGGATTAAGTGAAATAGTTTAGGGCAGTGTTTTTCTTTTCTTTTTTAAAATTGATTTTAGAGAGAGAGGGAGAGAGATAGAAATATCAGCCAGCTGCCTCCAGCACACCTCCCACTGGGGATGGAGCCAGCAACCTGGGCATGTGCCCTGACCGGGAATCAAATCAAAGACCTGGTTCATAGGTCAATGCTCAGCTACTGAGCCATGCTGGCTGGGCAGTGTTTTTTAGCCTAAAAGTTGCCTCCTATTCCTATGTTATGAATCCAATTTATTGGTTTGGAATCAACATTGAAAATAAATTAAGTATAATATAATACAATTATAATAAAAATGCCTAGTATATCACACACAATAAAGGTAAACAGTGTTTTTGCAAAGCTCTGGTTTCAGTTATAATTGTGTGTGGTTAGTTGTGATTTAAAGTTCTTCCTTACGGAGTTTAGACAATAAAATATGCAAGCTACTAACCAGCCTTTCACAGTTCCTTCTGAAAGATTTTAGAAGGCCTACTGCTAATAATAACTAAGATTTTCATCCTTAAAATGGGCAAGTATGGTTCTAAACTCTGGACATAGATTAATCCATAAAATCACCATAATAGCAGGAGATACTATTATTGTAAATTTTGCAGCTGAGGGGTTGAGGTTGAAGATTACATGGCTGGTAGGTTGTCAAGCCAGAACTTAATCTGAAGCCCTTGAATTACAGAGCTTCTGCTCACAGTTATTTTCCATACTGGCTCAGGCCTCAAAACAGAGACTTCTAGATGCCTCTCACCAAGCCCAACTATTCGCCCTCTCTGCCCTCCTTTCCTGCTCTCACTGCCTTCCCTACACCTCAGTGCAAAACAAAAATATTTTAATGTGCATGGCTGTTTTTCTTGAAAACAAACAAACAAAAAAACAAACAAACACGGGATTATAAAATTAACTGAAAGTAGAGATTTATTATACTATAGCAAGCATTAGTTCCCTGCCATCCATGATCGTGTCAGAAAAGTACATGTTTTCCCCTAACCCCCAGGATAACCTGTAAAATAGTCCTGATCTGAGGTGGGTTCTACCTAATTTATATGCTCACCAGTAAAGAAAAACCTCAAAATTGTGGAATAACAGAACTTAAATGACAAATTACTGGAACCCAAATATGCGGCATGTATACATACATATAATAAAGAGCTAATATGCTAATTAGACCAGCTGGCAGAACGACCTTCCGTAAAGACCTTCCAGAATGACCAATAGACGGGGCCTCGAGGCAGCCGGGGCTGTGAGGGCCGAGCCTCTAGCACGAATTTTGAGCTTCGGGCTTCTAGTTTATACATAATTTTCTTTGATTTTCTTTACTCTAAAATAAAAGCACACCCTAAGTTAGGTGAACGTGAAATGTAATTTAATGTGAAGTGGCCTGAGAGGTGGAGAACCTTTTAAAGAACCCTTCTCAGATGACATTTATAGGAGCCCTTAATTAATTGCCAGAGCCAACTGAAGCACATAAGAGATGCATTTCTTTGGTGAACTATGATTATCAATGGTAATGTTGCCAGGCGATCCTGAATGTGTTATGTTGTTACTCTTTCTTTGGGGACTAGCGTGTTTTTGTTCATTCTGGTTTTTATAGGTCGATGGGAAAGTCAGCATGAATGGAGAGACAGTTCACGGTGATGAGGTGGAGAAGGAAAGTGAGTGTCCCACGGACGCACTCGTGCCCTCATTAACCAAATCCCAGATGTTCGAAGGTGTGGCCAGAGTGCACGGGTCCCCCGTGGCTCTGAAACAAGGCAGCAACAGCATCGAGATCAGCATACAGAAGCCAAGTTCTGTTCCCCAAGATCCGACGGTAAGAACCAGACTTTTTTTTCTCCCCCTCTTTGGGATAATTCCATTGTGAATGAATCTGCTTTAAAAAGTAAGTAGGGCTTGATAATGACCATTTCTTTCTACGTGGATTTATTTGCTAGGGCTGCCCTAGCAAAGTACCACAAACTGACTGGCTTAAACAACAGAAATGAATTGTCTCAGAGTCTTGCTGGCTAGAAGTCCAAAATCAAGGTGTTGGCAGGGCTGGTTCCTCCTTTGGCCTTGAGGGGAAATCTGCCCCATGCCTCCTGCTGGCTTCTGGTGGTGCAACAGTTTCTGACTTTCCGGAGCTTGTAGATGCATCCCCTGATCTCTGCCTTCATCCTCTCAGGGTGCTCTCCCTGGGAGTGTGACTGTGTCCAAATCTTCCCTCTTTTATATTGAATTAGGGCCCACCCTATGGACCGCTTCGTAACTAATTACACCTGCAACAACCCTATTTTCAAATAATATCACATTCTGAGGGACTAGGTAAGGGTCATGATTTCTACATATGAATTTGGAGTTGAGGGGGAACACAGTTCAAATCTAACCAGTGGGTATAGTAGATGGTGTAATGTAAAAGAGGAATAGAAAAACTTGTCATCACATTTTTGGTGCCAGGTGTAATAGAAAAATAAATCAACCTCTCTTAAAACTTTTTTTTTTTTCTTTCTGTTTGTTCAGGACCCCATCAGACTTATTAATATAATCTGAAAATAACTTCTGTTCTCAAAACCTGGCTTTCCATCCTTGATAATATGCATAAAATGGCAGCTTTCTTATTAATAAAAATAATAAATAAATAAATAAATAAATAAATAAATAAATAAATAAACTCACCCTGACTGGTTTGGCTCAGTGGATAGAGCATCAGCCTATGGACTGAAAGGTCCCAGGCATAATTCGGTCAAGGACACATGCCCGGGCTGTGGGCTCGATACCCAGTGGTGGGGGGGGGGGGGCATGCAGAAGGAAGCCAATTGATGATTCTCTCTTATCATTGATGTTTCTCTCTCTTTCCCCCTTCCTTCCTCTCTGAAATCAATAAAAATATATTTTTAAAATAAACAAAAACTCATTCATAATCAAACTAAATTTGCAGTAATTAGAAGCACCATTGAATGTCCAAGCTGAAAAATGTAGGATTTCTCAACAACAGCAGCAAAGAAAACTCAAAAGAACATTCTGTTTGCCCCTTTGGAGTATAAATTCCATCAGGAAGATTCCGCCTTCTTAGATTCCACACCAGAAGGCTCCTGCTGATCAAACCCAAACTTCCACCCGCACAGACGCAGGCCAGCTTTCGGGGTGCAATCTGGACACTGCTCAACCCCATTTGTTCTCACCAGAGGCTGATGTCTGCAGTTTTAATTTATAGCCTTGGGGTTGGAATTCCAAAGGATGGGGAAAACTGTCACGATTTTTTCCCCAGCGCCTAGAAAGGTTTGGTCATGAGGAAAACTTGTCTCCCAGCTCCAGGGCTTATTAGATGAGATGACCCAGCTAGCTAAGCCTCCTTCCTCTCCCCCCATCCCACCACCCCTCCCCACCCCCACCCGGGTATTCTTTTTCTTATCTCTGGCATTTGTCTTTTGAAAAATAAAATATGTTTTCTTAGAGAGCTGAGAGGATGTAATTCTTCCCCACAGAGCTATGAGATTCCAATTGGAATCGACCAGAATAATTTCCTCACCATGGCAACAGGTTCGCTGGTCTCCAGGAGCAAGGTTTTATGATCCAGGCAAATGCTGAATCTCCCGACCTGGAATTTCATTTGACTTTTCATGTGCATGTTACCATCTCTGAAGAGTTCTTACAAATCGCCATGAGATGAAACATTGAGTTCCCCTAGTAAGAGTCAACATTAGCTTATGCTCTTAAAATTTCTTTAAATATGTTTTCATTGATTTTAGAGAGAGGGGGAGGGAGAAAGAGAGAGGAACATCGATCGGCTACCTCCTGCACAACCCCTACTGGGGATCAAACCCATAATCCAGGGAAGTGCCCTGACCATGCCCAACTGAGCCATACCAGCCCAGGTGACTTATGCTCTTACATTTAAATGAGAAGTTCCCAAAATTAACTAGACTTTACAGTGTTGGAATTGCTTTTCTGGGATAGTCGTTCTGCCCTTATTTCTCTTTCGCTACACTTCCTGATGAGTCTTTTCTTTTTTTTTTCTTTTTTTAAAAAAATATATTTTATTGATTTTTTACAGAGGAAGAGAGAGAGATAGAGAGCTAGAAACGTCGATGAGAGAGAAACATCGACCTGCTGCCTCCTGCACACCCCCTACTGGGGATGTGCCCACAACCAATGTATATGCCCTTGACCGGAATCAAACCTGGGACCTCTCAGTCCGCAGACCGACGCTCTACCGCTGAGCCAAACCGGTTTCGGCCCTAATGAACCTTTTCTACGTCCCCTTCAGAAAACTTTTCCATTGCTGTTTGGTGACCCTGTCTCTCGGGCTGCTGGCCCTTTGCACGCACTGTTGAGCACAGCTCTTTCTCACTGTGCCCTGGAAAAACAACCGTGTAGGTGTCACAGTGTCCCCTGACACTTGTCACATCACAGAGACGCACGAGGCTCACTCTGGCCCGGCAGATTACCTGCAAGAGCGCTTCCTGGGCGCTCCGCTGACCGGCAGGCCTCTCTCCCCCTCACCAGCTCCAGCCTCTGACCATGTTGTTGTTTGAGTTTGGAAAGCCTCCCCCTGGCTGAACGGTTTTCATTCCTGACAGAAATTAAAGGAATAAGTGGAGAGAGCAGATGGTATAAGGCCTAGACTTCCTAAAGCAACTATGTAATCTCTCTTGTTCTAAGCTTTTAACTCTTTGGGGCAGAGAGCTTTAACCATCCTGCACGGAGACTATGGCCTTAAGTACAAGACTCCTAAAGCAGAAGAAGGGGGAGTTTTGTGTGTGTGTTTGCTCCTTCTCAGTAATTACTAATTTTCCTATTTTCTGCGGTCAAAAGAGACAGAAAATTGCCTGTTCTCTTTCAACACAACGCATTTTCCATTTTAATGTGGTTGTGCAGCTAAACTCTCTAAGGACAAAGAGGGGATAGGTTGAGAGATTTCACGTTGACTGCGTAGCCCCCCAACACATCTTAGTTTAAGAGAAGAAAACGTTAGGTGATCTGAAGGAAATCAGGATATTTCAGAGGTGTATGCAGTTTATAACAAATGAACACAAATAAAACGGTGGCCGTGTGAACTTCCCCCTGGAAACCGGCCTCATCCTGGCAGCCTCGGGGGCCAGTCCAAACTGCTGGGGACGCCTGCGAGTCTCTCCTCTGTGTCTCTTCCTTGGAAAGCTGTCCAGTTTGGAGTAGTTTCTAGTTTAATAAACTCTAGTGGTTCCTATGGTCATGTATTGTCCCTGTCTCCAGTATATTTTAGGCCCCGGAATTAACTATGGCACAGCCTCCTCATGCTCTGAGTAGATATCTACCTGGGTGGATCTATTAGACTGGAAGCCAAGATGTTAGCTGTGCTACATTAAATGTTGGCTCGTTACTAAAACACTCTTCATGCTTGCCTAAAATTTGACACCAAAAGTTTGCCTTCCAGAATGTGTTGTTCCAGAAGACATTCTAAAAGAATCGCTTCTCCCATCAACCTGCTCCTCATCATACTTCCTTTTCCATATTCCAAGGAAAACGTTTTGTTTTGTTTTTTAAATATATTTTATTGATTTTGTACAGAGAGGAAAGGAGAGAGATAGAGAGTTAGAAACATCGATGAGAGAGAGTCATCGATCAGCTGCCTCTTGCACACCCCCTACTGGGGATGTGCCCGCAACCAAGGTACATGCCCTTGACCGGAATCGAACCCAGGACCCTTCAGTCCCCAAGCCGACGCTCTGTCCATTGAGCCAAACCGGTCTCGGCAAGGAAAGCGTTTCTTGACTGCATTACAGCCTGTGTATTCTTATCAGCACGGTAGGCTTGATTGGTGATGGCAAAATGCTGTGACTGGCTTGAAATGTGGGGCTGCTTGGGCTTGATACCAGCTTGGACCTGGTTTGCTGTTTCTAGCTCATTTGCCCTATTCTGTGGGGCTATCAAAGGAATAGTGTTCTTCTCTTTAAATAGTGTCTTTCTTCCAAAGACTGCATTCCCAACAGACACACTTTTTACAGAGGAGTAGACTCACCCACCACTAAAATGTCACAGTTCCTTCAGGGCGAGCTGGAACTAGTCAAAGGGCACAGCCACCATAGGCAGGGGCATTCAATCAGACCAGAGCAGCAGTGGAGGGTGGCCCTGGACTCCAGGAGGACAGGTGTGTCAACCTCTTGTGCCAACAGGACCACATTGTACAACACTATGTCATCACCTTAGTTTCTTTCTACCTCATCTTTCTCATTGGAAACTCTTGGGACCACAGCTCTCTTACTTTAGAAATAGATCATAAATGAAGCTAGGCTTGCTATCATGATTATCATTGTTACTCTGCTATGTCTACTGATACCAGCAACTCCAGATCATCCTCCATTGAGTCATCTCTAGGTAATGAGGTTGTGATGGCAATGACCTGGCCAATGGTTGCCTGTTCACTGGTGAGGACCAGTGAACTAAGGACCTACTCTGTGTCACATTTTTTTTAATAGAAAAAGAAACTCGTAAACTTTCTGGGGAAGCACTTTTCATAAGGCAACTAGAAAAGTATATATAAAACTATATCTAATTAAGTGCTAGGTAATAGGGTCAAAAGAGTAGAAGGGGTGTAAGATTGCAAGAACAGGTATGATCATATGGGTTGGGGTTTGTCGGGATGGTATTTTGTGGGATGTGGATTTCTTGATGGTAAGTATAGGATTTGCATTGAAATGGAGGAGGGCAGCAGGCCATTCCATATGCTGGGAATATCCCAGGATTCCCATATTCCTCATGTTGGCTAAGCAGGAACAAAGGCATGGACAGTGATGAGGAGCCCATAGTAGTGGTCACGGGGCTGAGAAGTCAGGGGGGGGCTCCAGGTAGAGGGAC